ATTTAATGTGGATACGTACGATAAGATATTTAAGGCAAATGATTGACCAAGAATTGGAAAGAATATCTTCTCAAAGTAGCAAGTGGCCGAATTTGTGGGTCCAGCCGGTCAACTCACTATACGCGCATTAAATGCAGTTGTCCTCCTCCTCCAACGGGAAGACAACCCTAGTATAAAAGATACACTACGAAGAACAACCGAATAACTTTTGCAAAAACTTTTGCTCAACATTTCGCTCTAACAACTCTATTCAAAAATCTCTCTTGAGATTCAAAACTCTATCTCCATCTTCAAGAAGAAGCTTCAGTTGGAAAGATTACATACTCACATCTTTTACTCCAACAAAGAGAAAAGTTCCTACTGTTCTTCAACCCTTCAAGCACTTAAAATATACATCTTTTGCGACGAAGAAAGTTGGAGGAACCCCTGTTTCAATAAGAAACTCTTCTTTAACAAGAAGGACGTCTAAGTAACTGGAGTAGTGAAGTGGTGATATTTCCGGGAAGCTCAGTGAAAGGACCAATCTTAAAGGAAGCCAGGAAGTGTGTTCCAGGAGACATCTACACTTGAAGAAGACGTGGAGAGCTTCTTAAGTGCTAGGACTAAGTCGTTGTAAACTGTCGTTTTTACAAGCTTAGTGGAACAGTGGATTAGAGGAACGAGTTGTTCCTTGAACCACTATAAAAATCTCTGGTGTCATTTACTTCTTGCATTTATTTTGAATTGAGTAACTCCAAAGACTTGGTCTCTGTGTTCAGCAGAACCTGTCTTGTGAGTTAACAGAAGGCCTACTGCCTTTGCTTCTCTGAGGCTAACCGGACAGAACCCCTACCAGAATACCATCCGCTGCCAGTCTGTTCCTTCAACAGAACAGGCTATTATGTTAAATCTGGTACTTAGCTTGAAAAAGCTAAAAACCAGTACAGTCTATTCACCCCCCTCTAGACTGTACCCGGTACAACCAGGACCAACACCGATGAATACGAAGCAAATGAGGGAAAAGTGAAGCAATACATTGAGGCACACTCTATCACTCAAATACAGAGGGCTCAAAATTCTGAGCCCAACATTTTATCCAAGCTCTAGGACAAGTCGCCAGAGCATCTTTCCAAAAATGTAAGGATAGAGGAACTCAGCCTCTCAAGCATACATGTCAGCCCCGTCATGGACATACACCAGAGGCCGAAAGACTGGATCTCAGACATCACAAACTTCATCACAATAGGACAACTGCATGAGGATGAAGGCCGTAAGAAACTAGCAAAGCTGAGGGCTCCAAGCTACGTCCTCGAGAATGGTAAACTTTACAAGCGGTCTTACAATGGTACTCCGATGCCTCCACGAAAAAGAGGCCGAGATCGCCATGGAGGAGGTACACAGTGGCACCTGCTCATCTCACTAGGGACCCTTCTCAATGTCCCGAAGGCTAATCATCCAAGGATATTTCTGGCCTACCATGGCTCGGGATTGCGCAGACCTCGCCTGGAAGTGTAACGCTTGCCAACACTTCCAGAAGGCCCCGGAAAGGCCCGCGGTCAATTACACACCCGTCATCACAGCAATACCCTTTTCCAGGTGGGACATTGACCTAGTAGGACCTTTGTCGAGGGGTACATCAAACAACAAATACATAATAGTGGCCATTGATTATTTCACAAAGTGGGTAGAAGCTGAACCCCTCGCCAGTATCACTGAGGCCCGATGCCGCCGCTTTGTCCTAAAGAGCATTTTGACCACGTTCGGCGTCCCCCAGCAGATAGTGTCCGACAACACAAGTCAGTTTGAAGCAGCCCCCTTTAGTGACCTCCTGGAGGCATGGGGAATAAAGCATACTTTTTCTCAGTCGCCTACCGACAAGGAAATGGTCAAGTTGAGAACGCCAACCAAACTTTGCTAGAAGGCTTGAAGAAGAAGCTGGAGGCCGAAGGCGGAGGTTGAGTTGAAGAACAACAGAATATCTTGTGGGCCTATCACACCACCCCTAGACCTTCACCTCCATCTCATTTCGGAGCACCAGGAGCAAGACTTCCTAAGAGTTGAGAACTACAGGAGTGATGTGAGTTTTCTCGCACTTAAAAAGGTTGTAGAAAAGTGGTTGAAAGTACGAGTATCGTCTCCACAAGGACGGACAAAAGGGAATTAAAGATTAACTAAATTCAGCGATTAAAAAGAATTAAAATAAAATTAAAATGCAATTGTGCGAGATTGGGTGGTTTGGAAAATAAATTAACGCGAATGAGCAAATAAAAATAATTGATTGGGTTCTTCTTAATTAACGATGAAGGGAGCAGGGATTGATTCCGGGGTAATCAGATTTCTGGTAGATCAGGCTTAATTACATGAAATTAATTTAATTGAGCCTAGTTAATCAATACTAAGTTCTTACCGCTCTCGCGACACGATCCTAAATTATTGCCAAAACGAGCGAGTTTACGGCCCCTTAATCGCTACTAATCTCTTAGCGAGTGATTAAGTGTGTGTGAATGTGTCTCAGAATAAACTAGACCTCTCTTAATTTATTTTACAAGCAATTGTAAGTCTAACCGCGGTTCCAGGTTACAAAAGATAGCAATTAATTTGTTCAACGCAAGTTAAATGACATTGATGCAATTAAACCATCAAGAATCTAGCCATACATCATGACTAACCTCTTTATCAATCTCAAATCCCTAATTAAAACTACTTCCGACTCATAATTGAAGAATCTACAGAATTGGGCAGAATAGAAAAAATTGTCATTAATTAAAAAGAATGAACTTACAAATAATCCCAGAATCTTGAGCAAAATAGCGGAAAAACTACTCCAAACTCGTGCCTAGGCCTCTCTGTAATGTTCATCCCGCCTCAAAAAGGGGTATGGAGGCCTTATTTATAGAAAATGGGTGAATTTGAGCTGAATTAGGACAAATCGGGGCCAGGCACGACGCCAGGCACGATCGTGCCCGGCCCAGACACGATCGTGTCTGGCTAGCACTAGCCCCTCGCGACTTTCTTCTTCAAGCACGATCGTGCCTAGGCCCAGGCACAGTCGTGCCTAGGCCCAGGCATAGTCGTGCCTGGCCTATCCTTGACTGTTTCATGTTGTTTCTTGCTCCAAATGCTCCCGGATGCAAATAAGGTCGATCCAAATGCTCTTTCTTCATCAGAATTTCATCGTGAATCTCCCGGTGACCTCCAAATCTCTCAAATCTTCATCGAATGCTTCCAAACTCTTCCCGATTGCCTCTTTAAGTGCCGATGTTGGTCTCTAAATTCTTCAATTCAAATCCATATGCAACAAAACTCGACCCAACGCCGGATAATTACATCTTGAGCTAAAATTGAGACTTGCAACACCTTAAAGCTAGGAAAACAATCAAAATCCGACTCCAACACGCATCAAATGCGTGTTGTAGTACGAACTTATAAGATTCCTCCACACTTAAGCTTTTGCTTGTCCTCAAGCAAATCGAATAACGGTACTTACGATAATCACCACACGGAATTAAAACAGTTAGCATGCACATGTAGCTAAAGGGATATTCACAGAACAGACAATCTAAACCAAGAAAATTCTTCCCTAAATTACATCTTTGTACTCAAGCTAAACTATTTGACAAAATTATTCACAACATCCTTAAAGCAATGACAGCATACACAAATAAACTAGCTATTGATCAGAAGGACTTGTGAAGGTGATGGTGAATGGTGAATGGTAATAAACAGTCCCTTTGTTTTGAGAGATTGGAATATTCTAACAAAGAATCAATGCATTCAGGAACTTCAGGGCTATTTTTAGGATCAAGGAACTCAGTAGGCCACAATTTTGGAACAATCATCTAAACCTATGCAAAGAGTAGACATGGTGTACAACTAAGCTAAACTGCCACGACACATTGGTGCTTTGACGTATACTTGAAGTACGCGGAGGACTAAAGCTAATTTTGCTAAAGCCTCCAAGTTCATTAAATAAGTTCAGTTTTCCTTGTCATGTTGGCACGAGAACGCCATTTCTTTCAAAAGATACCCAAGGTCTCATCTTATTGTGCAAAACACTTACACTTTTTGATTGGGGCTCCCATTGTCACTAGACATTACCCCATTCTAATCTCGGCCTCACCAAGGAAAAATAGCAATTAAAGTTCATTAATTTAAAAGTGAATCCATGCCTACAATGCAATCCTCGAAAATATCAAATTCCTAAAAAGTGACTGCTCTTGCTCCATTTGGAGCATAGGAACAGTGCCAAAATTGGCTCCTACACAAATTCCCTAAACTTAACAAATTAATTCCTTAGTTCCCTAAACATTTAGACTAAGTCAGAACTATTCACGGGTAAGGAAGCAGGCCATTTAGCTATGGAGCTCAATTAATTGGGGCAGACAACGAACGGCCAGGTTCAAAATGGCTTCTCCAAAAGGAACTTACTCAGGTCAATGGGAAAATTGTTAATTCATTACATGGGTGACTAATGTCTTCATCCTTTCAAACACCAGATTATAGTGCAAGAAATTTAAGCTTGAACACTTTAAGACATTTTAAAAGCATAGTCAAACGCTAGCCAACTCACAAAGACACAGTTTAAAGAATTTTCAAAAATTTGACATGAATTTCCTATGAATATACAACTAACACCTGCGCATGCTAACTCTAAAAATCACATATAACAACTACTGCCCGAATGCCCAATTCACTCCCCCACACATAAACTTTGGCATCGCCCTCGATGACCAAAAATGCACTATGTAAACGAGGCAAAGAGGAAAGGGTCACACATGCAAAAAATCAACTCAAGTCAACATTACACAGCGAGTAAAAGAGTCTTTGAAACTTCCCTATAGCGTTGGTCGGTCCGTAACTAAACTGAGTCTTTGAACTCTCGGCACGCCATCCATTAAGCATTCTTTTTTTCCCCGGAAATGCCATTGAGAGTGGGGAAAGCGCCGGGGAACACTTTCCATTTTATTCAGAAAAGCATTACAAGTACAAAGATCGAAAAAGGAAAGTACAAGAAAAAGTCACAGGAGAAAGAGTTAACAAATAACATTCATTGTAGGCACATCCATTAAGCATTCTTTTGAGCTGCAACACATCATTTAACAACAAAGCAAAACATAATAGAGAGTTAAGTATAAAAATGTGAGAGTGTGAGAGTGTTTAAGGTGTACAGTCATCCAACAGAATCTAATAATGAACTCTAGTGCTCAGGAGGCGGAGGCGGCGGGTATCCATCAAAGAATGAGCGCCTGCTATCCTCCAATGAAGTGAGGCGCTCATCAATCTGCGTATATTGGAACTGCAGCTGTGTGTAGTGCATCGCCTGATCCTCCCTCATTTCTCTGTAGAAGTCATGCTGCTCAAATCTCATCTGGTCAAACCGCTCATGCTGCTCTACGGAAAGCTGATGGTAAACGGCGTCCTGATGCGCGTGCACCCCCGCCCAAGTATCAGGAAACGTGCGGCCATAGGGGGGTGCATCATATGGAATGTCGTGTGCAGATTCCTCCATCTCCTCATCGCTCTCATCATTATCATCATCGTCTTCCCGTTGTCCTCCTCCTCCTGCTGCTGCCGCCGGCTGCACCTGTGGCCTCCTCCTCGCCACTCCGGTGTTGACCTTGGAAAGCCGGGTCAATGAAAGAAAACTGGAGCTCTCCTCCATCCTCTCAAATCGGTCTCCAAAGCCCATCCTCGTCAGTAGTCGAGTGATGAATGGGCCAACAAATATGGACTTAATATGGTTCGTGGCCTGGCGGTGGAGGAGCTTGGCAATGAGATAGCCCATGTGGCGCTTACTATTATGGACTATGCAGTAAAGGCATAATAGTTCTGTAGCAGTGACCTTTCTGGCAACCTCGGCTTTGCCGGGGATAGTGGATGAGAGAAGGGTATGAATGATACGGTACTGTCGTGGATAGAGGAGCGTGCTCGGAGACATCTTCGGCCGGTATTCTCCACCCCCATTAGTAATGGACTCCCAAAAGGTCTGGCGGTTAACGTTGGGTGGGAAGTCTGTCCAAATGACCTCATGTTGACCATCATCCTCGATTCTAGTAAACCCCAAATGATAGTACATCTCTGCCATGGAAATGGCATGCTCGTCCTCAAATGCCTGGAACTTGATGACGGGCCTATGGTTGTCCTCGATAGCAATCTCCTTGGTCATCCGAAATGTGGCCAAAACCTCACATGTAATCTCTATATATGTGGGGTCTGTAATCACATAGAAGAGATGCCTCCACCACCCCCGTCGCAGGAGGTGCATCACCTCATCTCTCACTCCTGCTCTAGTGAGTGAGGCCTCGTTAGGGTAGTACAAAGTGCCCATGCTTTTAGGTAGCAGCTCAACGTACTTCAGCTCATCCCTGAGTAGTGGAAACTTCGGTTGGTACCGGGCAGCATTGGCCCTGCTAGAACTGGCACCAACACCTCTAGTGTGCTTTTGTCTTGGCGTCATCTGTCAAAACAAGTCAAAAACAAGAATTCCAACGGGGCGTCCAAGTGTTAGAATAGACTCATAAATCACAGTAATGGCCCCGTCAGCAATTAATCAACCAAGATCATCATCATTATAGCTAAAACAACCCCAAGTTTAACCAGAATAGTTGAAAAATTTGAACTTTTATCGAGGAAAGATTCTTTGAATAAAATTCAAATTTTCAATGACACACGGTATAAACAAGGTCACAAGCAAGCATCGTTTATCATCACAAGTTTTTAGAATGAAGTTCTTCTCAAATGAATTAGAAAGAAATTCAAAATCGGGGGAAGAACTCTCAATTCTTAATTTAGACAAATTTTGGCCTAAACATTGGGGATTCTTGCTCAAATAGACTCAACAATAATCATTTAACATCACAAGCAACAATTCAATGCTTAAACCAAGCAAGGAAATCAAAATCCCCAAATTTTTCTCACTTTCAGCAAATTCATCCCTATTTTGGCCAAATTAACTTCAAAAATTAGGGATTTCAAACAAAAGAGGCAAATTGATATACTTAAAACATCAATATCGTCAATACAAGCCTCAATTTCAACAAAGAAAATCAAATCCCAAATTTTTGAGCTCATGAAAAATCGGAAATCACAAGGCTTGAAAACACCATTAATGGAGAAGAGAAGAAGAGAGAAGAAGGAGATTACCTTGTTTGGAGTAGAGGAGAGAGAGAGAGAGAAGGGACGGTGGTGGTTCGACCGGAGTCGCGGCGGTGGTCGGATGTGTGGTGGGTCGCGGTTGTTGGCTTTGTCGGTCGTCGTTGGCTTCAGTTGCAAGAAGGAAAATCGCAGGGCTGGATTGTCTCGCGTAAGGGAAAGAAGGGAAAGAAGGGCTGGGTTGGGTTTTAATTTACGCGGGGGTATTTTGGGAAATTTGCTAGGCACGATCGTGCTCGGCCCAGACACGAGCGTGCCTGCCTGGCAGTAGGCATGCCCTTTCGCATCCTGGGCACGATCGTGCCCCCAGCCAGACACGATCGTGTCTGGCTGGCAGTGAGCTCACATATTATCCTTCAATGTAGGCATGATCGTGCCTGCCCAGGCATGACTGTGCCCGGCCAAAAACACATTTTTTTTGTTTTTGTGGTTTTTTTTTGAAAAGCAGTAAAAACTAAACTACTGAAACAAAAATTAAGCTCGGTTTGCCTCCCGAGAAGCGCTATTTTTAACGTCGTTTGCCCGACGCAACTACGCAGTCATCTCTCAAAATTCGTGACAAAGGTCACCTCACGCTCGCGTTCTATCGGTCCTCCGTAGTATTTCTTCAGGTGATGGCCGTTAACTTTAAAACGACCTTTCTCACGATGGTCAATTTCAATAGTTCCGAATGGAAAAACTTCGCTCACTACAAAAGGACCGGACCACCTAGACTTCAATTTTCCTTTAAAAAATTTCATTCGTGGATTGAACAGCAGAACTTGATCCCCCGTACAAAACTCGTTCCCTGTTTGATATGCCGATCATGATAGGCTTTGGTACGCTCCTTACTAATCTTAGAGTTCTAATAGGCCATAAGCCTCCTGTAACACCCCGGCCTCGCAGGACCCGAGGTAGCTACTCTAGACCAATAGTACTGTCCTCACAAACCACCACGAGCCTTTACCGCGCACTTTGTCCTCACTCGTGCGCGCCCTGAGAAACTTCCCAGGGGGTCACCCATCCCAAGACTACTCTCGTGCAAGCACGCTTAACTTTGGAGTTCTTGGGTGATGAGCTCCCTTAAAAGGAGATGCACCTCTGTTGGTATGAGTAGTACTATTAATCCTCTTATATTAATCTCGGGTATTACACCTCCACTCATCCAACTCGTTGATCTTCCAAAGCCGCTCACGACTCGCCAAAGAAAGATCCTTATTCAGCGTTTTCAAGGCCCAGTAGGCCTTATGCTCAATCTCTACCGGAAGGTGGCACGCCTTCCCATAAACCAATTGAAACGGAGTAGTGCCAATGGGTGTCTTATACGATGTACGTAATGCCCACAACACGTCATCTAACTTATCGGACCAATCCTTCCTATGGGTCTCAACGGTCTTCTCAAGGATGGTCTTAATGTCCCTATTCGAATTCTCAACTTGGCCACTAGTTTGAGGGTGATATGGGATGCCCCTTTATGATTGACCCCGTACTTTGCCAAAAGATGCGTCATGGGATCATTCCTAAAGTGGGTACCCCTGTCACTTATCAAGACTCGTGACACTCCAAATCTAGAAAACAATTTCTTCAGAAAACGAATCACAACTCTAGCATCATTAGTGGGCAGAGCTTCAGCCTCAACCCACTTAGAAACATAATCCACAACAACAAGAATGAATTTATTACCTTTAAAACCCGGAAACGGTCCCATGAAGTCAATGCCCCAAACATCAAATACCTCACAAGCCAATATAAAATTTTGGGGCATCTCATCCCTCTTGGTGACCGCCCCAGTGCGTTGACACCTGTCACATTCCTGCACAAAAGTTAGAGCATCTTTAAACAAAGTGGGCCAGAAGAACCCACATTCCAAGACCTTACGGGCTGTCCGGTTGAAGGAATAGTGTCCCCCGGTCGGTCCGGAGTGACAATGTTTAAGAATTTCAGCTCCTTCACAAAGGGGAACACATCTTCTAATAACCTGATCAGCGCAAATACGAAACAGATATGGTTCCTCCCATAAATAATACTTCAGATCAGCAAAAAATCCTTTGTTGATGAGGTGTATGATCAGAAGGAACAACACCCCCAACAAGATAGTTGGCGATGTCAGAGAACCAAGGCACTTCATCAACGATACGCAAAAGTCTCTCATCAGGAAAAGTACCCGCAATCTCTCTCACTCAAGGAATCAAGAAAAGGGTTCTCTAACCTACTCAAGTGATCAACTGCTAAATTCTCAGCCTCTTTCTTATCTCTTATCTCAATATCAAACTCCTGGAGTAGTAATATCCACCGAATTAATCTAGGCTTAACATCCACTTTTTGCATCAAATATTTAAGAGCAGAATGATCGGTGAATATCACTACCTTAGACAAAATCAAATAAGGACGAAACTTGTCAAGAGCAAGCACAACAGCAAGTAATTGTTTCTCGGTGGTAGTGTAATTTTCCTGGGCACTATCGAGAGTCATAGAAGCATAAGAAATAGGTTGAAAATGTTTCTCTCGACGCTGCCCAAGAACGGCTCCTATTGCAAAATCACTAGCATCACACATAATCTCAAAAGGCAAGGACTAGTCAGGAGCTACTACCACCGGTGCCTTGACTAGTTTCTCCTTCAAACACTCAAAAGCCTCTAAACACTCCTTTGAGAAGTCAAACGGTGTGTCCTTCTCAAGGAGCTTATTCATGGGTCGGGCTATCTTAGAAAAGTCCTGGATGAACCTACGGTAGAAACCTGCGTGTCCTAGAAAATTCCTAATGGCACGGACCGAGGTAGGGGGAGGCAATTTAGAAATCACATCAACCTTAGCCGGATCATCCTCAACCCCCCTACTCGATATCTTATGCCCTAGGACCACTCCCTCACTAACCATGAAGTGACACTTCTCCCAGTTAAGCACCAAATTCACCTCTCGACACCTAACCACGACTTTCTTCAAATTTTCTTTAAGCACTCATCAAAAGTATCACCTTACACAGAAAAGTCATCCATAAAAACCTCCATAAACTTCCCAATAAAATCCCCAAAAATAGTAAGCATGCATCTCATAAAGGTAGCAGGGGCATTACATAATCCAAACGCCATCCTCCGATAAGCAACGGTACCGAATGGACATGTGAAAGTGGTTTTATCCTAGTCCTAGGGGGCTATGGGGATCTGGAAGTATCCTGACATCCCGTCAAGGAAACCGTAAAACCTATGCCCTGCTAGCCTTTCTAAAATCTGATCAATAAAGGGGAGGGGAAAGTGGTCCTTCCGGGTGGTGGCATTCAATCTTCGGTAATCAATGCAAACCCGCCATCCGGTGACCGTACGCGTAGCAATCGACTCATCTTTCTCATTCTTAACCACAGTCATCCCCCATTTCTTGGGAACCACCTGGGTCGGGCTGACCCAAGGGCTGTCTGAAATCGGATAAATAATGCCTACATCTAATAGACAGATGACTTCCTCCCTAACGACCTCCTGGATATTAGGATTCAATCTTCTTTGTGGCTGCACTACCGGTTTAGCATTATCTTCCATCAAAATTTTATGAGTGCAGAAAGCAAGACTGATTCCTTTCATGTCAGAAAGTTTCCAGGCTAGAGCTTCCCTTTGTTCACTAAGTAGAACAAGACATGGATATTTTTGGGATGGCTCAAGCTCGGATGCAAGAATAACAGGGAGGTCAGAACTTTCATCTAGAAATGCATACTCAAGGTGGGAGGGAAGAGGCTTTACATTTAATGGAGAAGGAGTAACAATAGAAGAATCAGTCTGACAGTCTTCCTTCTCCACCTTATCAAAGTCATCTTCCTTCCCCTTCACATCACTAGCATCACTTGAGTCCTCCTCTCCACCTATCATAAGGCAATGAAAACTAGGGAGGAGCTCAAGATCCTCTGCGGACAAACCATCATCCAAAAGAAGATCAAAGAAGGCTTCATCAGAAAGCATGTTAGGAATGCAATCCTCCACCAAAGAATCCATCACATCCATTTAAAAACAGTCTCCACTATCCTGACAGGGCCTCTTCATTATTTTGGACATGTCAAAGGTGGCAGACTCATCGCCAACACGAAGGACAAGCTTACTGTCTCCAACATCAATATGTGCTCGGGCAGTTGCCAAAAATGGTCTGCCCAATATCAATGGTACCTCACGATCCTGATCCATGTCCAAAATAACAAAGTCTACCAGAAAAATAAATTTTTCCACTATAACCAACACGTCTTCAATAATCCCTTGGGGATATTTGACTGATCGATCAGCCAACTGAATGCACATACGTGTAGGTTTAAGTGGACCGAGTGCAAGCTTTTCATATAAAGCAAGAGGCATCAAATTAATGCTTTCACCCAAATCAGTCAGGGCCCTATCAAAAGTAAGATCTCTTATAAAGCAGGGAATAGTAAAAGAACCTGAATCCTTAAGCTTCTTCGGCAGATCTGTCTGTATCACAGTTGAACACTCCTCATTAAGCATCACAGTTGACGCTTCTTCCAGCCTCCTCTTGTTCGTCAGTAGATCCTTCATCAACTTCGCGTAATTTGGCATTTGTGCTAGTGCATCCAAGAATGGTAAGTTAATCTACACTTGCATCATGAGATGCAGAAACTTACCAAACTGGTCACTGTCGTTCTTCCTAGTCAATCGCGCCGGGTAGGGAAGAGGTGGGGTGTAATTCTTGACCGGAACGAGCTGTTTTGGTGCAGCCGCTACCTCTCTTCCTTCATCTTTCTCTTTTTCTTCTTCCCGGGCAGCCGGTTCAACTTCAACTTCATCGGGCTTCTTTGTTGTGGCAGCAGGTTCTAGCTCTCTTCCACTTCTCAAGGTGACTACCTGAACATGTTCTCTTGGGTTTGGCTCGGTGTTACTAGGGAGGGATCCCTGAGGCCTCTCATATATGGCTTTTGCAAGCTGCCCCAATTGATTTTCCATGTTCTGCATCCTTGCATTTGCTTGAGTATTTATCTCTGAAGATTGTATGAAACGTTTGAGGGTTTCCTCCAAGCTAGCAAACTTTTGTTCAGTCTCTCTCCTAAAATTTCCTTGCCCCGGCTGAGGTGTTTGCTGCTGGCCTTGAGGTGGTTGGGGCTGATTATAGTTCCTAGACTGCTGGTGTTGATTTCCTTGCCCGTAGTTCCCTTGTTGCTGCTGTCCGTAGGGCTGATTGTAGTAGCCATGTCGCTGATAATACATCGCATCCACTT